TAGCTGCCCTCCCCACCTCCTACCTGACAAACCAGCTTTGGGCACGGACTCGACTTTCATTCGTTCATTCAGCAAACACATCCCAGTGGCCCCCGTGTGTCTGCTGGGTGGGGGAGTTGAGTGAAGAGGCCTGGGACCCGGAGGCTCAGGCTCCAGCAGGAACGTGCCCCAGATCTGAGTTCCCACAGCTCTGCCGCGGGAGTTCCCGGGATGGCCGAGGCCCACTCAGCAGCGTCACAGACACTTCCGAGCACTGTGGCCTGGGCTTTGAATGGTGAGACAGAACTGGACACAGGCAGAAAAGAAGACAAGAGTCCAGGACAGAGGCCACAGCGAAGGCCACGAGAAGGGGAGTGGGGAGGCCTGAGAGGGGAACCCAGTTACCGGCAGCAACAGAGACTCAACTCAGCCGGGGGGCCTCACTCCTCACCCAAGGCCAGCAGCGCCCAGACCCAGGTCAGCACTCCGGCAAAGGGAGAGATGGAATCAACCACCAGCGGCTGAGCGGCAGGTGTGTGGTCAGCTGGCCAGGCGTCCCAGCGGAGGGACCACGGGGTTCTCAAGGTCTTCCCCTTGCCCAGGCCTTCCCAGCGGGGCCAGTACCGTGCGCAATTTCAGATGACACCTTCGACATCACGTCTCAGATGACATGGCCTCCCGGGAGAACGCAGCGTGTAGCCTGCACGGCTGTGCGGGGGAGCCCAGCCCCTGCGCCGACCCCAGTGTGGGGAGCCCTTGGCCCACATCCACCCACCCCACCTCCGGGCAGCTCCAGGGACCACCCCGACGTCCACAGACGCTGTGTGTAATGGGCGAGTCCGCAGACTTCCATGAGCACAGCCCGTCGGCCACAGCGTTGTTCGTGAAAGTAGAAAACACCCTTCCCTTCCGCCACAGGAGAGCGGGCACGGGACACGCAAGACGCCACTGCGGAAGCTCATGCCCCCGCGGACGGGACGGGCGTGCACTGTGCACGGGAGAGTGGGAGGCACGGGCAGGGGCAAGCCTCGTTTTTGTGAAGACGTGCATTTAAGTTTGTAGGACGCACGGAAGAGTCTGGAAGGCTCCATGCCACACCTGACGGGAGATCATTTCTGGGCGGTGAGATAGAGATGACTTTCCTCTTTTCTATCTTATTTTTTTTTCTTTTGGCTTGCAGAGGCCAGGCTGGCGGGGAGCTCTCCCACACACTTCCCGCTCTGAGCCGCACCGAGGAGGGGACAGCACGTCCATCACACCTTAGTCAGAGCAGAGGCTCCAGGAGGCCAGTGCTGTCCCAGACCACAGGCCGTCAGAAGCAGCGCTTGGATCGGCCCCGGCGCCTGGTCTGTCTCCCATCGGGGCTCTGTGGACACTGGAGAGGCCACGAGCACCCCCCAGGGAGGTGAAGCCAAGAACGGTGCCGTAAGGTTGGACACTCTGTTCCCCGGCTTGCTTGCTGGGAGCGGAGGTCCAGCCAGACCTGAAGCTGCCAACCTCTGTCTTGGGGAGGGGTCATCTTGACTCTACCTGCCCTGCGTGCATCCTGGCAGGCCCGGGGTGGTCCCAGTCCTCACCTCCATCCCCTGGTCCTGACAGGTCCACCCACATGAGCAAGGCCGCATGAGGCACAGGAGAGGGGACACCTCACCCGGACCTCCCCAGGACACAAGTTCTGGCCTTGAACCGCCCCCTCCCGACAGGAAGAAGGCTGGACCACCTCACTCCCCGTTTCTGGGGTCTTCCCGGGTGAGGGCCGGCTACCAAGTACGCTTCTGTGAGAGACAAGCAGCTCCTTTGCCCAGAAAATAAAGGGCTTAGAAGGGCAAATTAATTCTGGGCCTGCTTAAAGAGAAATAACCGCTTCCGCCCGGGATTTTAATTACAGAGCTCTGCAAGAGCTGTGAACTCTGTTTTTCTTCATTATTTCTGGAGCGAGCTCTCCTCCTTCTCCCCCCAACTTCCCCCCACCACGTCCCTGTTTGCCCCGCGACCTTCTCTTGTGTTTTCCAACCCAGTGACTCAAAGCAAACCAGAGCTGCTGCTGGATGCTTTCAGGGGCTGGATTTTAACATTCTATTAAAATTTCAATGGATGTCGTGTGAGTTGGGGAATTTCCTATCTGCAGAAACTTTTGCCTTCATTCTAGTTAAGAAAATAAAAAACAAAAAGTCTGTTCCCTGCGGCTCTGTAATCCAAACACTATAAATTCCAAAGATTAAAGGGAGCCCGGCCCCCCTCGAGACCCCGTTTCCCTGGCGTGGCTGGCAATCAGGCCTCTAATTACGTTTCCTGTTTGCAACCGGCAAATAAAATATTTAGGCAGCCCAGGCTGAGTGTTCCAGGCCCGGCCCGGCCCGCAGCTGCACTGCCCCCAAACAGGAAGGCACACAGACAAAAAAATTAAATAAAACAAATGCCAGATAAGTACAGGCGCGTTGTTTTAAAAATTCATAAACACTAGCCTCTGATGCAATTTATTTTGGTTAACTAGCAAAGAATCCATGTAACTTACTGAAGAGATTCGATGGAAGCATGATTTTTCAAGAAATGTCACTGAACGGCTTTCCACCGTGTGTGGTGTGGCTCGGCAGGCCCCCAGAACGGGGTGTCCCCCAGGCCCCATCAGAGCCTAACAAATGACAAAGTGGCCAGCCATAGCTGCATAAGGACAGTGCTGGATGGGGTGTCCGCGCTGCTGCTGACAGATGGGCAGGCCCAGTAAACAACCCACCTCAGTTTCTCCATCTGTGACTCAGGAGCCACCAGCAGGAAGCTCTTGCGGGGCTGTGGGGAGCTTGCTGCGCCCATGTGGCATTGCAGTCAGGCACGGCGCCCTGCCCCTCCAGGGTTCCCTGGGCACACAGGGTCTCCTTCCATCCTGACTGCCCCAAGAAAGGGAAAGGGTGCTTTGCACAGATGCCAAATCCACCTTCCAGGCTGCAGTGCAGTTTTGCTGAGATTCGGGAAATTGCTTTCGATTTTGCAAAAAGAGGAGCCAAGTATCAGCACCAGAGAGACGGCCCCAGCCCCAGGCGCCCGCCCCGCCGAGCCGAGGTGGAGGGCAGCGGGCTGTCCGCAAACTGTAGCAAGGTGGCTCTGCGGGCCTGTCTGTCAGAGGAGGCGGCGGTTCCCAGAAGACCGGGCTCCATGGGAGACGCGCTGACTGCGCTCCGTGGGGAGAGGTTGTCGCTCCGGTCCCCAGCGGAGGTCTCTTTGTGCAGGAATCCATCGTCAGCAGAGAGGCTTTTATGGAACCTAATTTGGGTTGGAAGAACCATTTGCAACGGAAGTCTCTAGAAAGTGGCTGCTGGCGTGGTGGCAGGTGTGTGGGGTGGGGAAGGTGACGAGAGGTCCAGGGATGCAGGCAGGATGGTCACTTATGGGTGTCCAGGCACCCACAGCTGGCCCATGGTGCCCAAGCAAGGACACCAAGGCCGCAGTGAGTGGAAGGGACCTGGCAGGAGACCCAGCTGAGGACAGCAGGGGCTCAGGTGTAGAGGCTCGGCCCTGCTTCCCCTGTGGTCCTTCACAAAGCCTCTCCCTCTGTCCAGACCCCTCCCCCCAGGCCCTTCTCGGTGCGCTGGCTGGTCAAGGCTCAGAGGGCTCTGGGGCAGGTGTGTGGGTGGCCGGGCCCACCCAGGGTCCAGGTGCACCTGCAGGGCAGGCCCGAGCTGCTCACCTTCCCACTTTCCTCCACCTCAAAGCGGCCAGGGTTCCAAGGCAGGGCACCACAGCAGCCTCTGTTTACCCCTCTGGAAAATGGGAAGACAGTTCTCCCCAGGCGGGGCTGTCTCATGGCTCGGTCAGACACTCTCCAAGCTGGTGCTCTGAAGCCACAGGTGTCCCTGTGTCCTCACCACTAATACTGTCCCCTTTCCTACCACGGACGGGGCTCAGCACCCAGGACAAGACCTCCGCACTTTTGCAGCATCCCCTCGGGAGCACTGGTTCCACAGAAGGTGGGGCCTGGTGCCCGACGGGGCTGAGCATGGCACACGGCTCCCCATGTCCCAGGGACCTGAGAGCGCACTGTGGGGCGGCAGCCCCTGGAGGGGGGCCCCTAGCCTTTGTGCAAATCAGGAAGGGGATTGTCCTCCAGCACCAGGGTACCCAGTTGGCAAGCACAGGTGCTGGACCCTGGCTCCCTCATTGGCACCTGCAAGGCTACACCGTGACCTTCATGGGCCCCAGGCACCATCCCCCCTGTACCTGATGGCTCCGTCGTCTTGCCCAGCCTTGGCTCTCAAGGTGACCTTCGAGGGCTGCCGCAAGGACCACACTCCCAGGGAGCCTGGTGCAAGCAACAGAACAACCCCAATCACTGCCAGGTTCAAAAACGCCTGAGCTACGGGGCCTGGGCAGATGGGTGAGCAGGCGATCTCATCCAGAAACCTTGTCCACATGGACATCCTGGGAACCCTCCTTCGGAGATGGTCAAGGCCTGTCGCCGCAGAGGTCACTGTGTCCAGCTCCCGCCTCTCCTGCCCCTCAGCCGCTCCCTGGGAACCACCTGTCAGCTGCCCAAGCCTGGCTTTGCATTTTCACCCAGGAGTGACGCTGGGGGGGGAGGCTTGCTGAGTCCAGGCACCAGTGGTCACCTCTGTCCCCAAGGAAGTCCCTGCCAAAGGGCCCGGCACCAGGTGCTCCACGTTTGGGCCAGGACTCGCTGATTGCTGGGCAGATGTGCAGGCTCACAGCGACATGTTCCCCTCCTCCGGGGTTGCCACTGCTGCACCTCCTGCACCTCAGCATTCCTGGCTGTCAGCATAGAGAGGCTGGGCTCCAGTCTCCCTGAAGGCCAGTGCCACCCTCCGCCAGGTCCCACTGAGCCTCACAGAGCTGGTGGGGCTGCCTGCCCACCTCAGCGCTGCATGTCCAGCCAGCGCTGAGTGGAAGTGCGGGCACAGAAGCCTGGACAGCAGCCTGGGCTCAGAGCCAGGCCTGTGGCTTTTGTCAGCCTGCGTCTCCTCCCCTGTGGGATGGGGACTCCGTGGCACCCCCATGATGGACAGGATGCCATGGGCCTTGTGTCCTTCCCACAGCCGTCGCCAGAGGCGCGTGACCACCACACAGGTGTGGACCGACGTCACTTTGCAGCCTACATCACACCTACAGGGAAGACCCTCTCCCCCCATGGTCTCACCACACCTGGGAGGAAACGGAGGCACTCCATTTTACAGACAGTCAGTGGAGGCTCAGAGCAGTCACGGGCTGAGGCTGAGACCTGGGCAGGTATTTGCCATCTTGGAGTCCAGCACATACACAGGGCCGGGGACGAATGGGCTGCACAGAGCGGCCTCCCACCCCTGCCTACCCCCAGGTGCACACACAGAACCCCCACATATGCACAGGGGCACACACTCATAGGAGTGTGTGTAGGTGTGCACGTGCATGCGTATGCATGCACACACACACTTGCACAGAATGCACAAAGCACAGGTGTGAGCGCACGCACAGGTACATTCATGAGTGCACATACACGTACACACACGCATGCACACACCCAGCTGTATGCACATCTCCCGGCTCCACAGAGGGGAGGGGGCATTTCCCGGGCAGGCTGTGAACCCAGCGATGAGGGGATCTCACACCCTCCAGGGAGGGGACTCGTCCCCCTCATTGTGCTGCCGCCCTGGCCTCGGGAGACCCACCTTGAACTCCGCCAGGCCTTCCTGAGCTGGGGACAGGCCAGCCACGGGCGTGACGCAGCGCCATCTAGCGGACGGCGGGCTGCAGCGCTGACGGGACGGCTGGCTGCCCAGTCTGGGGCTGGCGGCTGAGGGCGCAGCCTCACAGGGCAGGAGGGCACACGACACCTGCATCGTTCTAGCATAAGAACCTCAAGAAAACCACAGGAATCTAAGGCTGTGTGTTCTGTGGAGTCACAGAAAGCTCTGTTCACATGGCAGCCGCTGAAAGTGTAAGAGAACCACTGCCCGGAGGGGGCTAGTTGTTTTCTCCCATCTTTAAAGATCTTTTAAAATATCTGGAGACACCCTGGGGTCCAGTGCTGGACGGATGACACAGGTTTCCATCCATTTGGGCTCCTGCTGCACCCTCAGCCCCAGGCCCAGCCCCAGCCCAGCCTCACCCTCAGCCCCAGCCCCAGCCCCAGCC